GGTAGAAAATAATTTATCCAGTTCAAACCTAAAATAAATAAAAAAAAAAATAAATAAATATTAACGTTTTGTTCTTGCTTATTATGAATTTGGTTAAAAAATACTGTTCTAGTGTTTAATTTTTTATAAAGTACTTTTCTTTCAATAATATTAAACAACAAAAAAAATGTTTTTACAATAAGTTAATAACTATCGTGAGACATACTGAATGAATAAATAATTAAAAAACATTATATTTACGTGAGTAACTCGTAATTTTTTGCTAGAAGAAATCTAGTCTATATACACCGCACCGAGATAGTCCTCTCTAAATACATCTATCTAATCCATCTACAAACCGTAGAATAATAGATAATTCTATAGACACAGATAAAGGAAAACTTTTATCTCTAATACAATATACTCGTATTCTCCTCAATTATTTACAAAGGCCTCGTGAGTTTACCTCAACACAACAGATGGCAGTAGTTATTTCGTCGCGTCTATATAAATAAATAAATCCCAAAGTCTGGAGCGTACCTTTCACTAAGTTTGGTAGATTACAAGTTGTGTTGTATTTATCAAAGGATCCCAACAAATCACAAAAGAATGTGTAAGTTATTCACAACAATAGGGCTGGTACACAACAAAAGAAATCTTGACAAAATAGAAGTCTACATACTTGAGAAGCATAGATACTGTGATTTATATTCCTATCTTGCTCGATTTTTTTATGATTTGGTCTAGGTGCTTGCTATCTATTGGTAAAAGTATTATAAAAAGCTTCACCGAAGCGAAGATATGCCAAGATTTACATTCGACGGAAATCTATGATGATTAAAATCTACGTTACTACTACTGAGAATCGAAATTAAGTGGCAGTCAGCCACAAATTACTCCATGAGCCTAATTCAATTAGAGAATCAAAACATTATTTCTGTATAATTCAAGCAAAAGTTATTTGTTTAATAACAGATTTAGAACAGCCGTTTCTTCGAATCAGAATACAGAACAACCCTACCTAACAACTATAATACAATTTGCAGAACTTTCAATCTTTCGAAGTCCCTTAATGTTGTCGGGAACAAGTTATCAGAAGGGACCCTTCGACATCTAAATAATGTTCAGAGAATTCGAAGACCCTATTTTATCAACAAATAAACTCACTCTCATTATTCTTTACGAGAGAAAAACAAGCTGTACAAATTGAACGGTGTCGAAGTGGAAGGTTTTGCGCATTTTCGATGGAACAACGTCCTCGACCCGTTGTGACCCGTGCGGCTTAAAAAAAGGCACGAGGCCTCACTCCCATTTCACGATAGTGGTTTAAAATGTACGAACAGTAGAGAAAATATAGTGATTGAGCTCAGTGGCGTGTTTATAGAGGACTACGTCCAACAGTTGATAACTGATGAAATAGCAACGGATTATGATGAAAACACAAGTAGTAGTGTTAGAGCTTTAATTTGCTTTTTATTCTAATTATAAAATTGAGGAGTCTGATGTGTTGTTCTGTATGAGACGCATGCAGCTTGTCAGATTCATCCACCAGAGCGCATCAGCATATCATCAGCAATCCCTTACCAATCCGTAAGGATAATTTTACCTAAGTAAACGCCAAAACTTTCTAGAAAGAGCCTGGAGCGACAGTGTAGTTATAAACCTATATTTAAATAGCATTTCATGGAAAACCGACACCAATGAAGTTGTTTTTCATAAACCTCCTTGTGAACAACAACAGCAACAATAACATAAACGAAACCATCTTCAAGGAAATTGATTTAACGAAAGCAGTGCCTTTAGACAAACGCCACTTTAGCGCTTGTCTACAGAGAGTGTAGAAAACTAAATGTATGGGGATGACACTGACAAGTGTCAAATTTTACGTCAATCCCATATAATTTGGTTTTCTATACTACATGTAGACAAGCGCTAAGTGGCATTTGGCTACAGCTGCAGGAAAGACAAGACATGGAATACATCACAGGATACGTAATGTAACTTTATGCTTGGTATAGGTGAATATAAAGTACTTTTTTATCATAAAACTAGTTAAGAACCTCCAAGAGTCCTTTAAGACAACCTACTGTATTCGCGAAGGTACTAGGCACCTATTTATTTAAAGAGGTCACTAATAAACTCCGTAACAAATACCTGACATTTCAAGCCAAGTGCCACACTTAAAACGACTCTCTTGTCCTTTTCCATCGTATTACTTCTATTTTGTTTCTCTTTCTAACGATACCTGTAACCTATTTACAAAGCTTAGGACTGTGTATTAACCTGAATTTTGGAATGTCAATTTCATAAATGTGTAGAAGAACTTTCTGTCACAAGTTCGACTCCCGAGTCCATGCCCATGCTCAAGTACCCAATTTCCCGATTCTGGCAAATTATATAAATAGAGATCTAGTCTGGTTCTTTGTATTCCATAGCCTTTTAATGATTTTTATAATGTGCTCAATGAATACCGGTGAAATCATCTCTTGTCAAATGAGAAATAACAGGGGAAACGTGGATGTTCATTTGAAAATATGCATTGCATTTTCATTTCGGAGTTAAACAACATAACATTACTGTCTGATTGCCTCGTTGGCTGAGTGGTCACAAGAGCGACGGCCGGGCAATGGGTCTCGGGTTCGATTACCGGGTCGGGCAAAGTATTACTGGGTTTTTTTTCAAATTCTCAGTAGAAGCACAGTCTGGAATTGTGCCCAGTATATGGCAATAGGCTCACCCCCTATTACATGAGACTCATAACATAAATAGTGAAAAGTGGGTGTTACATTGTACAGTGGTATAATTTACACCTCTGTCTACCCCTCCGGGGATAAAAGGCGTGATGTTATGTATGTATTATTAACTAACATTAAGTATCTTACGTAGAAGAACTTTGTTGAATGTTGATTGAGTAAATATGAGACGGTTTGCTATAGGTACATGGTATATTTGAAGTTTTGGAGATTGATAGAATTAGGGACGAGAGACACATGCTCTCTGGATTAACAGGGGTTGACGTTTAAATTTCCGCATTCGAGAGGAAATTTCGTTTCATGTTTATACGTATAATATGACGTTTATGAATATTGATTTATTAAAGCGGAAGGCTCCTGCTAGGTGGTGTGATGTTGTCAGCTGTGTTGCTGGCAATGGTCGGGTGCGAAGAGCTGAAGAAGCTTTTGCCCTAGTGATTATAAAAACCCATATTCTAGTGTGTTGAGGGCCCGTGGTCAGTACTACAAGAAACTGAGCCTACAGTTATGCTCGCGGAATAGTAAAACCATTTGTTTTATGTGCTTGAGTATTGATAATGTTTTTCGAAAAGGAGTCTAGATTCCCATACCTACTAAACATCATTTAAGAAATGCATCTTTCCTTTCGATTGCCTAAAAACGAAACAAAAGTCACTCCAGATCAGAGTTTAAAAAACGAACAATAAATAAAATTGCGACAAAAACCTCCGGCCATTTTCCGACAAAAGAAATCGTCTCCATATTGATATATATTTGTTGGAAAGTCGTCAACTTTACATTTCCGACGGGGACCGCTTGGGAGGCAGTTCAATCTAATCGAATTCGACACTCACTTCGTGCCGAGTCTCGGTGGGGTTATAAAATGCGGCGATAGAACATAGGATCTATATTCAAGCACAATGTACATTTTGCGACGATTTTCAGCAGCTGAAGCGTAGATTTTAGGTACAATCATCAATTAGTAGACGTACACTGCATGTTTAATAAAGACCCCGCTTTTGTGTCTAAGAAAAAGAAGGGTGTCTCTAGGAAAAAGATACCATTTACTACGTTTTAAACGGGTAGATGATTTTCAAAATTGCTTATTTTGAGTAACAAAGTATCTACTTCACTATACAAGATGATATTGCAGTTACTGCGCTTTTCATAGCTACATTATGTTCCAGGAAATATTTGTAAGTTAAACAGTAATATTCATATTGCATCGCCGACGCTTTAAACCGACTGTGAACTATTCTGTGAATGCAAATATGTATATTAACTGAATTCACTATTGTGTAATGGTGGTCAAGTTTTCTTGCATTAAATACTAAACTTCCTGCTGGGTTTTATGTAAAAGTAGCGAACTGCTTTAATCTGTCAAACACCAAGCGGTCACCGGTGACCGCGACCTATTGTTCTTTAATTGTGTCTATAAAACCGGTACTCGACGAGTTAAATTAAATTTGCTTTACACTGACAATATTTAAAAAATACTTTACGTAAAACTACTTGTAGAAGGGACACTGGTCTCTACGCCTAACCGCCATAAAATCTGAACTCATTAGCTTACGAGTATAGTGTTGCAACTGATCGCCGGTAAAAAAAACTTTACGTAAGAAACTTATTCTAAGTCCTTGTCTCAAATGATAAAAAGATCCAAAATCCAAAAATCAAATTAACCCGGCGGCAATCGTCTAATTAACTGAATTTTAATTAGCCGACTTTTTTTTAAACTCACGTTACCTAGGTATATAATTTTTCATAAAATATAACAATGATTCATGTAATGAGGCAATAACGGAACTATCAAATACGTATGTCTACTTGTCCCTACAAAGCTAAGTAGCCTTGTTAATATTCTGTATGTAAAATATTTCAGTTTGATCAACAGTGTTTACTTAGCTGCCGACTACACTGCCTCCGTTCATGCAAATACCCAGCTGGCTGGCTTCATTAATTCAGCCGTGCCTGCTTAAATATTCCTTTTTTACGCCAACGACCATTGTAGCTAAATCTTTAGCGTTTTCTACAATAATTCTGAGCTGCACTAAACTAGATCAAGGGATCTTTTTCTGTCTAATTCACTCTCCGTCATTTGTTTATGATCAAATAATTGTAATGATTTCATCAGTTTTATTATTACTGATTCATTTTGTGACTCACGTAATTTGAATTTACTAATACGGGCTCTTGGATTATTTATCTATTGATTTCAGAATGTTTCATAGATATGTATACACATGAAGCTCGTGAATCAATGACTGATTTACTCGTTATCTTTTTCAGCGAACAGCGGGCTGAGCTCCGCGGCGCCGCAGTCAGAGGAGCTCCAACACATCAGCGCTGAAGCCGAGCTGGACCGACGACTCTCTGAGCGACAGAGTCGAGCCATGTACTACACGAAAACCCAAGTCACTACACAGACCTCCAACATAACAGACAATCATACGGACAAACCACCAGAAATACCAGTAACAAACACAACAGAAACCAATAAAACAGAAGAAGTACCCCATCCAGCTATACAGTGGACAGTGGTCAACATCACTGACATGTCAACAAACAATACACAGACAACAAACGCAAGCGCAAGTAATGCAACGGTAGCCCCGTTCACGAATTTGACGGAAACGCAAAACGCGACGTTTGCGTCTAAAAAGAGGAATCTGACTAGACCAGACTTCGTGAAAGACGGAGGTGGAAATGTGGCGGAGAGTAGAATCGTGACAGAGAAGCCACTGTCATTAGAGACTACTTTCCTACAGACTCGGATACCACCGAACGTCGAATCTTCTAGAAGGGTGATAGACCAAAGTGATGGAGGAATGGATACGGGGGCTATAGCCGGGATATCGTTTGCTGCGCTAGTTTTGGCGGCTCTGGCTGGGAGCACGGCGTTCGTGCTGTACCGGCGGAGGTACCTGAACAAGCCGCAGACCCTGAATGACAAGTGCTCGAACCCTGATTCGAGCGGCTACTTGGATGACAGTACGATAAGAGTAAGTATCACTAAGTATTTTTAATTTTTTTAACTATCGATCTAGTCTCTAACCAAATACTGTAACCACTGTAACATTTTGTAACTTTTGAAATTCCACCTCTCCACCTTAGAACAATTCATTATTTTTCTAACATAACTTCGTGTTTTTTCCAGGACAACTCCGAAGAGATGTACAGCTTGGACAACGACTCCTTCCTCAACTCTCTGGAGGCGATGACCATACAGAACTACTGGACGGATACCGTCAAGCACACCAAACTCTGATCACGTCACTCGTCATGACGTCACTCACACAAGATGACGGACCAAACTAGTTTCTACCATAACTGTCAGACTGGGAATTGAAGATGACCATGAATATACCAAGGACATTATGACGTCATAAGCAATTTTAATACAGCTATGTTTTGTCAAAGATATCTAAGGAATTGACGTGATTCGCATCTACAATCTAACATGCACCTAAACTCTTGACAGATTAGATAAAACAAATCTGAATGTCGACTTTGATACTGTCTGATTAGATTTTTTAAATTAAGAACCTATATGACATGACTGCATGACAGTTGATCACATAATTCGATATTCAAATTCTTCTGTGATTATTTTAATGATTTGTAATGTTTTTTTATTATGATTTTAATTCAAATATTTGAGAGTTTTAAACTCATAAGAAGTACGTGTAATGACATGGATTTCGGAGACATTTTTAAATAACAATATTATAAGTTTTGCGAAACCTCAAAATAGGCCTAGAAATGAATTTATTCATTATACTTGAATGAAAACCCCGACTTGATAAGGAAAAATGCTTTGTATACTCTCTTTGAACTCTATAAGACAAAAAAATATGTCTGTCACCGAATCTATAATTTAGGGGAAATGCCTTGTAGTGGCAAAGTTAATTAAAGAAATCTTAACATGACTTGACATGATTTTAATTCGACCAAAGCTGTAATATCACCAGTTCATAATGATAGTAAACCTCGTCTCTATTTATCATCTTCTGTTCGACAGAAAGGAGAAGATGTTTTATATTATATTTTGGCTTCAATTTCATATAATTTTAATTTGTCCATACCTATTAGCAATCAATAACCAGTAACGTATTTTCAACAAAGCAGCTCTCTTAAAATTATCAAGGACAGTTCCTAAAACGAGATTTAAGGTTCAGATTTCTAAGAAATCTGACAAAAATCTGGATTCGTTCTTGAGCAAACCATATATTCCCAAGCGGTCACCGGTGACCGCTCTCCACTAACTACATTATAGACCTTATTTCTAACGTTTAGAGACTACTATTGTCTGAACAAATTTAGGGGATGATTTTAATTTATCTTACTCATGTGAGAAATTTAATACCATTTTTATGACAATTCCTATCCTATCATTATGAACTGTGGATGCATAACTAAAAAATATGGACTAAAGAATTAATGACGACATTTTTCTACATTTTATTAAACGTAAATTTTAATTAATATAATACGATGCAATCTTAATTAATTAAGATAGAGTAATATTAATATTTTTAATAAATACATACCTACGTGTAGTTTTTAATTTATATTAGAATATAATAATATATCGTTTTGTCGTAAAATTGTAAATACATAATAATTGTTGTGATAATTTTCATTAGTTTTTTTTTTGTTTAGGTGCAGTATGTGCAAATGTGTTTAATATTTGTATGATTTTGTATGGCTAAACAACTATGTTTCTAAATTATTTTCTAACTAGCTTTTACCCGCGGCTTCGCTCGCGTCACAAAAAGATAAAACGTAGCCTATGTGACTACCCATCCCTTCACCTACCTTCAGTTGAAAAATCACGTTAAGTACCTCCGTTTTGCCGTTTAAGACAGGCAAACAAACAAACAGCTGTTCGCTTGCGTGGAATTCGGTTATAACGCGCGTTTTAGATTTTTCCGTGGGAATGAGAAATTCTGCCGCGGTAAAGCCTTGCTTTTCCAGGACTCAAACTACCTTTATTCCACATTTCTTCAAAATCGATTCAGCCGCGTGAAAGAACAGAAGAAGTTATTTTCGCATTACCACAAATACCTCCTCCCATTTTAATTTAAAAGACTTCTATTTCCTATAAGGGTTATATTTGCAACGCTAAACCAAAACTGAGTGGTAAACTATATTATACGTTTTATTATCGAAAACCGTTAGGTTTTCGATAATAAAACGTATAATCGTTTTACTATCGAAAACCTAACTACTTTAGAAATCTACTTAGAAATAAACCACTTCACTAATCTAACCTAACTAATATAGCTACTGTATCAATCAACGTAAACAATGAACAAAGCGTCTTAGAACGACGAAAAAAAATTACTATAGTACTTTAACTCGTCGAGTACCGGTTTTATAGACACAATTAAAGAACAATAGGTCGCGGTCACCGGTGACCGCTTGGTGTTTGATTGACAGTTTAAATACTAATATCTACCTAGAAAAAATAACACTTGACTAATCAAACCTACATAGCGAACAAATAATTAACAATATAAGCGCTAGATGCGTACACTAAAATATAGCTGATACGGAAGCTCGGAACCTATACTTTCGCCGGTAACGAAACCATAGCGCCATCTAACTCGATCCTAACGCCATCTATCGAGCGTTGAAACAACAGCGTACAATATAGTATGTTGAGTATTGTTGCCACTATGGTTTCGTGTACCTTTAACAACCTAAAATCTATAAAATACGCAACTTAATGTAAAATGGTAGGAACCAAAATTTAAAAGCGAAGAATACCTACTTAAAAAACACATCGCTATTCCACATAGACACCAATTTCGTGTACCTTTAACAACCTAAAATCTATAAAATACCCAATTCAATGTAAAATGGTAGGAATCAAAAATTAAAAGCGTTAAAAATACTTAAAAAACACAACGGTTCCCCGTTTTACAAACACTCAGCGCACTCTATCGCCAAGTAGCGTAACTACTACATTAGTAGCGTCACTAATTTTGTGTACCTTTAACAACCTAAAATCTATAAAATACGCAATTTAATGTAAAATGGTTAGAAACAAAATTTAAAAGCGAAAAATACTTAAAAAATAGCGTAACTACTACATAGACACCAATTTCATGTACCTTTAACAACCTAATATCTATAAAATACACAATTCAATGTAAAATGGTAGGAACCAAAATTTAAAAGCGATAAAAGTACTTTAAAAGCACAACGATACCCCGTTTTACAAACACTCAGCGCCATCTATCGCCAAGTAGCGTAACTACTACACAACGTTACCACGTTGTGTTTTTTAAGTATTTTTACATATAAAATAGCAAATAAATGAGTCGAAAAGCGCACTGAATAAGTGTAGATTAACACCAAATAAGCGCTATAGATTAATGCGTGAAATTTCCAATTAGTAGGTAATTCGTTGAATTGTTTTAGATGGCACAAAGCGCCATCTACAGGAATACACACAGCGCCATCTATACTAATATTTTTGTTTTCCCTCGGGAATATCACATTTTTCCGGGATAAAAAGTACCCTATTATTTAATCTGGACTTCTAACTTTACGTCTGCAAAATTTCAAAGCAATCGGTGTAGTAGTTACGGCGTGAAGGTGGAACAAACAAACAAACAAACAAACTCACTTTCAGATTTATAATATTAGTAAGGATTTCCAAATGTTTCGTCATTATTGGCCATTTGAAAAGTATTTTCTCATAGTTTTTGAACGTATTGTAACATAAAAATAACAATTATCGACAAAAATACAACAAACGTTAAACACCTCTGCATAAAGAATGGTACAGAAGCTACGACAAAAATGTCGCAGAGAATATTGTAGTATTCTTGTCGCGATATTTTTTGATCGCGTCTTGTGACACCGTAGTACATCTTGTCCCAGTAGATTGTACATGTAACTACGTGTAAATTTGATATTTTTGTAATATTCCCTTTGTGTGAAGTTTAAGCAGAACACTGTATTAGGTCACTTCCCTTTATAATACTAAAACTATAATAAAATCACTGTAAATTGATTCTACAGTTTGTTTTTATAAACGTAATTGTTAGGAGGAATGCTCCTAAAACAGTGTTTCGTACTAAACTTATAGGTTGTAAGATTGAAGATTACTATTCTTTAACATTTTTCCAAATAAAATTCCACCATCAATATGCATGTAACATAGTTCATAAGCCCTAATCATACTAAGACAATTGAATAAAATGAACATGCTAGTGGAACCGAGATATGGTGATGTTGTCTTGGGATGAATGGGAAGCTTTAGACATAAGGATGTGATCTCAATATATCATTTTTGAATAAGCGTGAAATATCTATGTGTGTGATAGCTTTAATGTTCCCAATTTATGTTTTATTACTATATAAGGTATATAAACACCGTACCTTTGTATTTAAATGCATCCCATTCTTTTCAAATTTATATAAACATGTCAGCCATACTTATAAATATTTATCTTTATTAATTCATTTTTTTATTGTGAGTTTCTGACTTATTAATTTGTGATTATTGACACGAGACACGTTTACCAATATTATGATTTAATGTTTATTTTATGTATTTTTTATTGTGATTCTAGATCCGTCCATTGATTGAGATTATGTTTTCTGTAAACATTTTTAAATTGATCAGAAAGTCTATATTTATATACATTCATTAGTACATTTATTTGTCATTTTGTCAGTCATATCAAAATGTTATCTGTGAATATAGTAACTTGTATGTGTAATCATTAACATGGTGTGAAATATTTAAGCATGTAACATTGTTTAGTCTGGCAATATCGATGTTTTTGAATACTTAATAAAAAAAATCGAGAAAGTTGAGCTTAATTCGTGTAGAATCAAGTATTAGAGGCAAGTGGTAAATAAAAATGTATGTTAGTTTACGTAAAAATGTTAATAACGAAACTACCATCTTTTTCTTTGTAAGAATAACATAAATGTACTTTAATTTTTTAATTAATACCGATGAGTTGTGAGAAAAATATTTTAATAGTTTTTGAAACTACCCCACAGTAACCTGTACTTATTATAGTTGCCATAGATAAAATGTTTCGTTTTAAATGTAAAAGTTCCCAGTACAAGGTGCTAGGAGATTTTTGTCAGTAGAAAGAAACTTAAGAACCCCCAATTTATGTAGTTTACAATAATGTGTAATTGGTTTATAAGCCAAAATAATTATAGTAATAATTTAGTATCATTAAATATATTTTTACTTGGAATAATGTCTTTTATTGAGTCTTTGTACACATCTTTAAAACATGCAAGTATTATGTATCTCATCTTTAATTATCGTGGTGACCTGGGTGTTAACGCGCCCGTTCCTCACGCATGAGGGTACAAAATCTGTTGTTGGTGGTTGCGCATATCACTTCTCTTCAATCGTTTTTTGTCGTCGATCAGCCATATTGTTGATCGAACTTCAAAAACGCATGCTCATGAAAAAATAACTTATCGTTAAATTAAAAGTAAGAGTAAATCATCGTAATAGATCACATTATCTACTCTATATACGTCTGTGGATTATAATTATAAAAGTAATGAAATTCTGTACAGACCGTACAGATATAGATTTTAATTTAGAATCACTGGAATATTAATAATAATAATAAGCCCGCAGGGCACCTTGAGCATGGCATTAGTGACCCCGCAGGCTACCATCATCCCGAGTGTTCCAGGAAGAAGTCACGGTTCCTTATTCTCCGGCTTGCCCTAATTGGCTGGCTGGAGTGAACAATGATGAGGAACTGGTCTCCCATCTCAGACTTCATTGGCCGTCCAGAGTGGAGTCGCGAGAGCAGTGATCCTGCTCGGAAGGTAAGAAACTATTCGTAGCTCGCGAGTGGGCCAGGGATGCAGGATGCTTCGGCTGGATCAAATGATTTGAGTAGAAAGCAGTGGTAGTTTCTTACTTAACCCTTCAGCCACTCAAATTTCCGTTGTCCCTCTGTTGCTATATGTAGCAACCATTTCCGGGGCCCGGTCGGTGAGTTGGCGAGTCTCCGCCTGGTATTTTTATATGTAATACTTACATTATTTCGGCAGGTGGCCTATTCATCCATAGTTCCCAATTTACTAGCCCACAGCAACCCATCCATATCCCTACCTTTTTTCATAGTGCATACAGTGATAGTCGCCGGATTGTGTGTCCATTACATTTATATTATACATAATTGTCTAAAGGGCCTCTGCGCAATTGGCTTCGGCCCCACGTATGCTACCCAAATGACCGGGACCCTGTGGTCCCGTGAATGGTAAAGACATAAATAATAATACACAGTACACACGTAATAATATACAGGCGTACTTTTCATCCCAGAAACGTGGATGAAACCGCTAGAAGGAGATACTGTCTAATAAATCCATGATTCATACATAGTTTAGTAAGACTTGTACTCGTCTAGTTAATACTAGACGAGTATCGATAATCGTTAAACTAAGGTAGCTCAACACTATTGCTTGCCCGTATCAAAAAAAATGTTGCCAATTTCTGTTGCCGTCATTTAACGAAATGTCATTGTCAATTCAATAATGTCAATTGTCAATTTGTCATGTCAATGTCATTTGTCAATAACAAGTCGCATTAATCGCTTGTGCTGTGATTATTTATTATTAAATTAATAAATAAGCTTTGAAAATGGTGCAAGCGTGGTACATGGATGAAGAGAAAACTGATCAGCGTCTGGAACATCATAAGAACCCGCCAGAATTCATTTCCCTCGAAGATCTTTACAAGAAAACCGGCGTTGAATATTTTAAAGTAAGTTTCTTGTTGCGTAGTTCTTGGGCTTATTTTAATATCTTGTTATCAAGTTTTTTCTCATGTAATGAAGACGTTTTACTGATAACACCATTTATCACTGTTATAGGCTAAAAAATGCCAATCATTCATCTTAAAAAGTTAATATTAGGTATTACCAAGCACTATTGTTCTGTATAAATGCAATGTAAGGGTCATTATATGGGCAATTAAGATAATATTTGATAACTGATGTAACGTATTACTTAAGAACATGAAATCGAACGATGTTTAAAGTGTGTAATTCAGTTTCATATGGAATATGGATTGAAGACTTTTAGAATTAGAAAACGCATCAACAATTCAACATACATATTGAATAATGGACAAAACTGACTACACATTATTTCAGTATCTGACTTACCAGTAATATTACTAATCACGAAATCTTACGAATATAAAAATGGGAAGGTTTGTCAATTTGTTTCTTACTGAATCACGTCAAACCAGCTGAAGGAATGGGGATGAAGTTTAGAACAGGCATAGTTTTTATTCTGGAATACCATAGGCTATTTTTTATCCCACTCGAATGTGGATGAAACCTCAAGCAGAAGCTCATTTGGAATAAGGTAAGTAGGTAACTTCTTAGAACTCTCAATTAGAGAATGTCATACAAAATTCACCTGATAGTTTTTGAGTTTATGACATCAAAACATAAGCAAAAGTTTGCTTGATTTTATAATGTTGTAATGATTTTTACCTATATTACTTACAACATCAGACTAGTCGAACAAAGTTCTAATCAGCCCACTTCTAATGATTACAGCTGAACGTGGACACATACACAACAGATGGAGTGCTGGACAAGCTGAAGCAGGAGCGAGGGTACACCTATGAGGACGAGATGACTTGCTCCAAGGAGTGTCTGCCCAACTACGAGGAGAAAATCAAGTCATTCTTTACTGAGCACCTGCATACTGATGAGGAGATTAGGTAAACTACATGTCTTTAATTGATTCGCTAAAGTAATATTAGTTGAGGTAAATCTTGAAAGTATGGTAGAATAATAAAAACACATGTTTGACTAAATATAAACATAATCTCTGGATTATGTGTAAACGAAACACTCCCGAAAAATGGCGACATGTGTTGGTAAGTTTTATTTTCATAAAAATAAGGAATTAAAGTGTGTCATGGTGGCCCGGAGGTTTAAGAGGCCCGCTTCTCATCCATTAAGGTGCGGGCTCGAAACCTACCAATGGCAAGTACCAATGTGACTTTTTCCGAGTTATATGTACTTTCTAAGATTATCTAGACACCACTGCCAGACCGTGAAGGCAACCATCGTGAGGAAACCTGGGCTTATACCAGCAGGAATGTTGGGCAAGCCGCATTGAGCAAGCGTGGTGATTAGTGCTCAAACCTTCTCCATGTGAGAAGAGGCTTTGCTCAACAGTGGGCATTTATAGGCTGTTGATGATGATGATGATGAAGGAATTAAATGTTTCTTTTATGTAATAGTAGTTGTAGTCAACTGCTCAAGGCTGATGTCGCATGAATACCACAAAAACAGAAAGGATTAAAATTGTAAAAACATTTTCTTTTTATCGATGATTTAGGAGAGTTCTGTTTACACTCTGTATATTGAGTAAGTGAAGTTAAAAGTTGCTATTACTGCAAAGTGCAATCTATATAACATTAACATCACATATTTTAAGACCCAATGGGGTAGGCAGAGGTGCACATCTACATTGTAACACCCACTTTTCATCATATTATTAGATCCATGTTACTTATGAGGAAAGATTAAGGTGAGCCAATTTTCATTTTCAATTTTCTTTAAAAATAAACGTTGCCTCACACCAGGATTTTCTCCTGTATCGTAAGTGCGTTTATAAACATACAATTTCACATACACATGACACCCAGACCCGGAACAACAACCTGTGGATCGCACAAAGAGTTATTCCGTGTGGGAATTGAACCCGCGACACGTTGCACGGCAGCCAGTTGCCCAACCACTGCCCCAACCGTGCAGTCAAAATATTTTAAAATAACTAATTTCAAAAATACAAAGGACTTAAATCTAAATAGTTATATAAATAAATTAAAATTGATATTTTTAATTGTAATGTTCCAGGTTTGTGCTGGCTGGTTCTGGATACTTCGACGTGCGCGACGGCCAGGACCAATGGATCCGCATCGCCGTCACCGCGGGCGACATGATCGTCATCCCCAGCGGCATCTACCACCGGTTCACACTTGATACTAATGTTAGTATTGCATATTTTAGAGCAATCGAAATAAGGAAATAACATGTGTTACTTTGAACACACAATTCCAGAATCCGTAGTATCACGAGAATTTTTGATAAACCGGAAATTACATCATGGTGCTTCACCCTGTCCGAACTGTAGGCTTCTTCTTCGATCGGCAGTCGACGTCGCATATGCGGCCACTAACCCAACGAAGCCTAAATAATTATTTCTTATTAGAACATAGGTTAATTAGATATGTCTAGTTAAATAAGCATTATAATCGAAGACTAGGTACATAAAATCTGAAACAAAAATATACTATTTTAAAATATTCTCTTACATTAAATTTCAGAATTTCATAAAGGCGAAGCGGTTCTTCATCGGCGAGCCGGTGTGGCTGCCGTACAACCGTCCTGCTGACAACATGGACGCTCGCAAGCAGTACGTCGAGAAACTGGAAAAAGGTTTCACTGTCACCGCTTGTTAAATGATACCAAACACGAATTAGACAGTGGAGTGTCAAGTTCCTTTTACATACAGATTTCTTTTTAATTGGTGCAGTTCAAGTATCGCATAGTTTGTTAAACCATTCCAACTAATTGAAATAGATCAGCAGCTGTAGCCAAATGCCATTTAGCGCTTGTCTACATGTAGAATAGAAAACCAAATTATATGGAATTGACGTAAATTTTGACACTTGTCAGTGTCATCCCCATACATTTTGATTTCTACTTTCTCTGTAGACAAGCGCTAAAGTGGCGTTTGGCTAAAGGCCTAGGTAGGTTGTTTTAACTCGTCGAGTACCGGTTTTATAGACACAATTAAAGAACAATAGGTCGCGGTCACTGGTGACCGCTTGGTATTTGACAGTTTAAAATGCCATATTACATACGTAGTAAAATGGAGTGAATAGGGATCGAGAGGTGAATAGGGATAAAAGAGGGGTGAACTTCATAGTACCGATTCACCCCTCTTCTGTCCCTTTTCACCGCTCAAACCCTATACACCCCATTTTACAAACATAATAAATTTATGCCAAATTGTCAACTATACTTGCAACCTTGAACCGTGGTGTGCCTATACCTGAATGCCGATTGTAACAAGACACAATGACAATATGTTTCATATTGTGTCTGATATACTGCCAATCAAATGTTATTAATAATATATTTAGACGCTATTTGGACAGCTTCAAAACTATATACTTTCAAGAAAAGAGTGCCTTCTTAAAAGGCACCACACTTATGAATAGTCTAGTACTTACGTCATCCATAGACGTTGATAGTTTACCGTCAGGCGTTCCGCCTATGTGGTTGCAACCAATTTTAGAAAAAAAAATCATCTTTTGACTTCTGAGCATTGGAACTTGATTTCACTTTCTATAACTATAGTGATATTAAAAACTGAATATTAGTTTTAATATTTTTTTCTAAATATGGCTGTCTATACTATGTTATTGGTTTATTATATTGTTTAATTTAGATGGATTTATTTTTTAAATATTATTTTGTATATAATGTTTATTTATGTTTAATAAACATTAAATTATCATTCTGGGCATATTTTATCCAAATTAATTTACTCATCTGTCCGCCAATATTCCTAGTGGCCAAATAAGGTGGCCTTCATGTAATTCCATTTTTTTGGTTAAATTCTTATTTGAATTTAGTAAGTAGGTTATATTAGACCCATTTACCGAGTCTTCTGAATATACTAATTTAAAAATATTTTGAAGTAGATAAATGGAAAATGCGTAATATTAAATGTCGATATAAATAAAACATAATTCCACTTCGCTTATTCCTTGAAAAGGATAACAGAGTATCACATTAACTACAAAACTCAACTTCAAAATCATAATTCCAACTTTAATTCTTATTACAATGATCATAAAATCTAGTTTCCTATATCCATAACTCCGCCCATAACGTAACAGGCTTTATTATTAGTAAGTAACACACTTGAAAAATGCAAAGTTTGCTCAAACAAACAGACAGACAAGTGAAGATATTAGTTTTGTAGATATAGTAACTATACTTGGAAGCAAATGAACCACTAGCGTTTTTGTTTCACTTTATTGAACCCTTTATAACTTTAAAAAAAAATATTGCTTTTACAACATGTTAAAGGTAATTAAATTGCCTTTTATTAACCCGTTGAAATTCATCCCCTAAATTTTTTCATACAAAAGTGGTCTCTAAACTTTGAAAATAAGGTCTATAATATAGTTAGTGAAAAGCGGTAACCGGTGACTGCTTGGGGATGTATGGGTTAACAGACTTCAAACAAAGGAGGTTGTAGTTGTAGGAGTTTCACGTGTATGTGCATATCTCGTGATTGGCTAAACCGATTTTGTTGCGGTTTCCAAAAGAATTGTTACACTTAGGAGAAAGTTTTAGTATATTACTACCTTCTGCCCGCGACTTCGTACGCTTAATCCCATTTTGCCTGTCCTCGTTCGTGATTTTCGGTAAAAAAAAAAAAAAAAATGTTGGTTTAAAAGTATCCTATGTCGGTCTCCTGGCTCTAAGCTACGTCCCCACCAATTTTCAGCCAAATCTATTCTGCCGTTCTTGAGTTGTAAGTGGTGTAACTAACACGACTTTCTTTTATATATATAGATTATTAATCAACCGATTTTAAAAGATAAGGGGATAGAAGTCTGTTTTTTTAACTGGGTTTAACATAACATCACGCCTTTTATCCCCGAAGGGGTAGGCAGAGGTGCACGTTATACCACTGTACAATGTAACACCAACTTTTCACTATTTATGTTATGAATCCCATGTAATAGGGGGTGAGTAACTGGGTTTCTATAAGGGAATTATAAGACATACGTAACCAATAATTAAATACTCGTATCAGAAACTAATTACCAAGAAATGAAAATGAATAAGCGCTAGTGGTTCCGTTCTTTTGCTCTCAAGTGTATTATAAGTTGTTATATACTTATAATAGTATATGTACAGATCAGTGCCTTCTTTTAGTATAAAGTTTAGTAGTTGTTATTCGTATTTTATTGTTATATTATAATTATAATAAATATTGTTTTTAAATATATTTTGTTTCTCTTTTTCATCGTTTTATATAAAATTACTTGTTTTAAGTATAATCTTCAGCAACTAATGTCCATCCATTGCTGATAAAAAGCAGTTGTTTGATCAAAGGTCCACCTGAATTTTATGGAGGCGAGATTCGGCGTATTAAGCGTCAAGGCGGTTGTCTCGTCGACGCCTTCTACATTCGGATGGGCCCTCTCGCGAACTCGCTCAGCAGCCTCCTTTTGGGTCATCTCACAAAACGAGGACACTCCCCTCCAATTTTCTACTTCTGTCAGCATAGCTCTAAAAGATATGGACCTACAGTTTTCATCAGATATAAATCCAAGTCTCCACTGTTCCCGAGCGTACGGCGCGTCGCGTTCCGCGCCCGCCTCAAGGAGCCACCAGATCACCACAGATGGCCCAATAGGGCTGATGCCGATACGGACCCGCTGAGGACTTAACAAGTTGCCGGGGCTCCGGCTCGAAGTGCAGGAATAGGAACGGGGTGGTTTTTAGTCAGTAAGAGTCTGACACTCCCTCTCGCCTCACCCGAGCGGGAGAAGCCATTGGATGAATTTACCATCTCAAAAAAAGTCCTCACTATTAAGTAGTATTTAATATGAACTGTTTTTGCTTGACATACTCGCCATAGCCAAATTGATTCTTAAGTCATTATTTATTCCATTCAAGAGACATCGTCTGAGCCGTAAGTAATTATTTTATTTTAGTTTTAAGAGTATCAAAATTATGTTTATTAACTGCAATCCGTCCATTGCTGAACAAAGGCCTTCCGCTTTGGAGTGGTACTGTACTAATTACCTATAATAGTCAAGATAACAGGGTTAACATATACATAACAGGGTTAAATAACCCTGTTAATGATGCTGATGTTGATGAAATCAAGGTCTTGGCAAGCCCTTGGATACTGCAGTTTGTCAGGGTTAATTAGATCACTAAAAATTTAAAAGAGCTCACGCCATAGTGACTGTAGTTTGTTCGCATTAAGAATGCAGTGAATCATCAGTGCAAGTGTATATTAGGACTAAGCTAAATTAATTTATAAAAATACACTTGGAAGTTTATAATCAGTTTAAGGAACGGGGCTAGGCTGACGGACAGTAATGATTTACAACATTCTTAACGCGAATGTACTACAGTCGCAATCTCCATTACCTCCTACCTTCCTAAAAATAGTATACATAATACATCTAGCATTTTAGCATACATAATATATCTGTAGTAATCTGAAGATTATATCTGGGAATGATTAGAAGTTCTAAAAGTATACTTATACTAATAAGGTAGGTAAATACATAAATATATTAAAATCTCATTCAATAACATACTCAAACAAACTATAGATAATACAAATGCCATAATTTCCTATAAAAAAAATTAACAAACCTTCAGTCAAAAATCTATCAACAAATCATCATTACAAACTCAGCCTGTCAGAATACTAAATAATAACATGCACACAAAATAATAGTCAGAATGTTCGTCAGTGTACTCCCAGTCTTTACCAAATATCCGTAAAGGTAATTATTTTGAATGGTATGACACCCGTACGTACGGCCCAGGAAAGTCTATGGACTGGATATACGTGTTGTACATTGTACTGAAGCCACTCGAACTCATCCTCACTACAATTTTCCCACCGGAAAAAGAGTCACCCGCTTATTTACGTAGGTATGATACTTAATAACACTTGTAGTTATTGCATATAATTGCGTAGTTTCTTCAGTCTAACACTAATTATATCCATTTTCCCATAGATACCTTTTGATTGCTATATTTACGACAACAAATAAGTTTGTTAATAGGTATACCTACACATTTTTCTAGCAGATATTTAAGAAATAAGTATCTATTCGATGTATAATAGTATTATGACGTTATAACACATTATCATACCTCGTACCAAATTCATAGAAAAGTAATAGGTCAATGTTTAATCAAAATAAATATATTTCAGACGTTCCATCTTCGCTCCAGACGATTACGACGACGAAGAGGAGGAAAACTCAAAAAAACACAAAGTTTTTAAAATATTTAATAAGCCAAACACCACTATATCTGCGACGGATGTTAAAAAACGAGATCGCAATAGCAATTATACCAGGGGTAATAGATGCAGTTGCAACGGTCGCGCTTTTGGTGCTAAAGATACTTACGGTAACGTCACCGCGACTCCCAGTACTATCAGCGGTGTAACTTTTGATATTAACAATACTAGAGGCTTCACAGAACACATCAGCGGTGGCACTAACGCCTTAACAGGAGCCGGTAGTGATGGAAATACTTCCTACGTAGAACCTCAAAGTGGCAGTACAAATAGGCAACCAGTAAACATTCGTGGTAATACTACTGTCTTAACAAAACCTAAAGGTGGCAGTACCATCGGATTCACTACAGGCAATGACGGTAGTACCGTCTTAGGAGG